TATATATATATATATATATGTGTACTTGAATTCTGTTGTAGAATTATGCACAATTATGCATTTACGATCAATTATATAATATTTATATATATGCACGCACATACACATTATTATCGCTTAGCATAGACACAAATATCTACAACACAAACAGTTTCTCCATAAAGAAAATGGAAGAGATAATCTCAAATGCCTTTTTTCAGGCTTCAAGAATGGATGGTCTCGAGTTATCGAGAAGTCTTTCAAAGTGGTTTCATTCGGAGTTTTACGTTATTGAAGAAAATGAACACAAGTGAAGATTGTACTTACCTTGTCACCGAAAAAGGTTGAGCGTTCTGGCAAACTGACGTTGCAAATTGATGTTTCTTGCGGATGTGATCATGGATTCACTTGATAAATATCTACTACTATTGCTATCGCTGCTTTTCTCTTTGCCGATCACGTATTTCAATCCATATAAACTCACGACACACTTCACTCGATCGTTGATCGCCAACGACTGACTATAGTGACTGTCTGACTAACTCGAGTAGCTAGTGATGACAAACCACTGTATAGTGCGGCTCCAGCAGCGTGACCGATCGGGAAGGTGCACTTGCCTTAATTTTGTTAATGATAGATCTGTTTTTTACTCTTGCACTAGACTGCACTAAAACTCTTTTTCTCTTTCGCTAAATATTATATAAACATACTTATCTTATCTCATTTTAAATTCTAAAAGTGTACACTGTATAGTTCAGTCACAAAAACAGATCCAATGATTAACAATCCATATTAGCGAAGTTACGTTGTTTGAATAGAATTATTAATTTTTTATTATTTGACAAAACTGTTAAAAGAAGATTAGATTACGACAATTAATAATATATAAGAATTATCTTAATTATTGTTTCGTCTAGTAAGCAGGAGGAGATATAGGGTGGATCCCGCTTTGCGTGGAAAATACATTTTGAATATTGTTTAGTATCGAGATTGCTTTACCCTCCATATATAAATAATATTTATGTTAAGTATATTAATTATAATATTTATATTATATATATTTATGTCTAAGTATCAAATTAAATAAAACTTATAATATATAAATTTTATTTAATTTAATTTGTTTTTTTTTTAGTTACTCCTTGAACATATAATGTATTACAGTACATTATTATAGTAACTCAATTATTGAACGAAGTGACAAAAATTTATGTATAACTTTAAATAAATTCATCTTATTAAATTTTTATAAACGACGAATTTAATTTAGAGTCATAAATATCATTAAAAGTTTAATATTTAAAATAACACTGATAAATTTATCTTATTCTGAATTCTTGTCCAGGAATAATTTTTTGATTGAAGATATACATCTTTAAAAAAATTTATCCTACTGAGGGGACAATAGGTACATCACTGATCCGAACACTGTTCTTTTTGGCTGAACTTTTCAGCACTAGTTCATCTTTCTTCTTCTTCTTTCTTCCTGAAGAGAAAAGGAAGAAAGTCGAACTAGTGCAAAAAAGTGTAAAAGTTCAGTTAAAAAGAACAGGCTATTGTCACTACACGGCGAACATGCGTGAGATAATGCAATGCGAGCGAAATGATGCGAGAAAATACGGATTCGGAAGCCTTTTACCAAAAGTACACTTTATCAGAAGAAACCATGGCGAAACTCGAATCTATCAGGGAAGCATTGAAAGATAACATCGCTCAGGCTAATCCGATGTGGAAACTCATAGCGGAGCAGGAACAGGTTAGAATTATATTAGTTCATACACTGTAGTCTGTTTCTTATTGCTAGAACTCTGAACAGTGCAATAAGTTAAAGATATATTTATTTCGCTTCAACTTATTACACTGTATGTACTAGGGCAGAAAGTGCAGCAATAAAAAACAGAAAACCTATTCTAAACTATAATCTCAATGAGAAGTTTATAGTCATTATTTAATTTTTAACTTTAAATTAACTCTTCCATATCTCTTCCGTATCTCTACAAAGATGAAATAATTATGAAAATATAAAAATTATTAATATTAGATCATTCCAAATTGTATACAGATAATACTTCAAATTCTTATACATATAATTTAACATAAATATGTATTGTTCGATTTAGAATGAAAAAGAAATATGTTCAGAGAGTGAAGATAGCGACGATAAGGATGAACCAATGGATAATAACGAATCTCAAACGAACTGCGATCAATCAGTACCACCACCGTCTACTCAATTTTACTTTACACAAACTGAGAGAACTATAGAACTGAAGAGATCTGTTGCTGCAGTGCCACAAAGATGTGATATTTTAGAATGTGCTTGCGAGAATTTAGAACGAAATAATGGCAAACTAGACTTCTTCCAGTTAGAGAATTTATCTGATGAAGATCTTGTTCCATTGGTGGACGAGATGGCAAGAAAATTAAGTCCTAAGGGTATCTATAATCTGTGTCTGTCAATGAATGATATGACTGTTGAGCAGAGAATAAAATATCTCAATATATTTTGCACACATTTGTTGCTACCAAAGGTATCAATGGTTATGTTATTAATATCTATTAGACTTTTTTTCTTCATATATTAATTTTTGTTCACATTGCTTATAGATAGTCGAACTAGAGGAGCCATCTCGTTTATTATCATCTGCGATCGTTGAATGCATTAAAATGTTTCCCGATGAGGTTCAGCAACTTATATTTGTTCCTATTCTCAACATTGAGTTGAAAGATATAACATTGATCACCACCATTGTGAATGCGTTTGATCAGCAAAGGAAAACAATTCTTTTAGGGTATATTTTACGCAGTCATAATATATATGACTTTAAAGTATAATTTTTATTTCGAAAATTAAAAATTAAAAATGGGAAAAAAAATTAATAATTTTTTTATGTTTTTGCAGAAAATTTCTTGCATGTGTGGAGGAATTAAAGTTATGGCATATATCTGTGTTGCAAAGTTTGTTATCTGTAAGACTGGACCACAACATGATTGATAAAATTATCAAATTATTCTTGGAAAAAGCACTTTGTTATTCCAAAGATAAAAACTTCGGAAAACTTATGCTGTCATTTTTGAAAATTAATACAGCATTAATTGAAGAACAGAAAAATGTAATGGCTGAAATCGCTGCTGTTAATGAAACATTATTCAAAAAACCTATAGAAAATATTTTAAGGAACATGTAATCGCTAAATCACATGTGTAAAAATGCATCTATAATTGTCTATCTAATTTACCCCGATTAACACATTTTTATATCTAATGTATACCTTTAGAGATTTTTAGGAATGTATATCTTTAGAGATTAAAATATATATTTTTCTAAATTAGGACTTGGATTTTTTATAGTGAGTTTCAAATACAATTTCATAGATATTTGATATACAAACATAAAACTTCCAACTATTATTATAATTATAATTCCTTGTCATTTCATCTTATTTAGCTACTATTTAAATTACTCCTCAATTTATTCTTTTTTTCTTTTATCTATTGCTGTTATGGAAATGAAGATCACCATGTTTCCCTTAAATTTTTCAATAAAACTGATGCGTTATTTTTACGTCAGAGATTCCGTGTTTATTATTTAGTAAGGCATACACTACTCATTATATTAAAATTTGTTCTCAATTAAAAGTTCGATGCAGATATTAATAACTATTAATTTAATTAAACGTGATGCGCGCGAGATACGACTCCGTACGCGGATCAGCTGATAGAAGATTTTTTTATTCAAAAGTACGAATGACAGTTGACATTATTGTTTCGGAGCGATATACGATTCTCACATAAAGACTAGTGCCCGTCAACAATTGTTCGCGAACCTGCAGAAGATAGCTGCCTCGATTATCGTGCGAAAATGACACAGGAGCTGTCTGGTGTGACCATAGTAATATTTATAGCAGCAGGTGTTTTGACAATATTGTTACTATTCATTTTCGCGAAACGGCAGATCATGAGATTTGCTTTGAGATCTCGTCGGGGTCCTCACATTCCCATAGGACACGACGCGAAGAAGGTGTGTTTTACGATCCAATATAATTTTGAGGTTAACTTATTATTATATGGTTGCTTAACCCATGACAAGTATATAATTGTTTGTAATGTCAAAGGAATATGAGTCCTTGGAAATTAGTTTTTTGTATTAGTATTTTAGAAGTTTTAAATTTTTCAATTGTAAATAAAAAAGTTATAGAATGATAATTAATTTATATAAATAGAACAAAATTAGGAAAATGTCTCAGTATGTCATCAGGACTCATATGCAGTTAAATACTGAAAATGTTTCAGTCCTTGAAGAAGGAAATAGAAAGGAGAATAGAAGTGATACCTCGGATCCAATACGAGCCACAGCTGATTAGCGACCCTAGATATATTTTGACTCCAGGTGGACAAGCCCCACCGCATTATTACAGATTAAAAGCTGTTGACGATGTTAAAACTTTAGGTAAGTCACTATTCCATTATTTTTTTTATTAAATTTGTTTTTTATTGTTGCATTGGACTGTACTTTTCTTCTTACTTTTGTCGAACATTAAATACATATGTCTATTTTACTTTATAAGTACAAAGAGTGCACATCAGTTCAGTTATAAAAAGATCTCAAGCTTTGTTTTGTGTGATCTTTACCTTGATATCTGAGCCTTGTTTCATGCGATATTTACAGAGTCAGAGATCACAAGGTACGACAATTGTCTGAAGAGACATCCTTCGGAAAATCTGAGGGCATACTTGCTCACTACACTCGCTACTCCATTAAATGGAAGTGGTCAGCGTTTAATTCACCAGTTCTGCGATTTGTATGAACATGCGAGGCACGACCCTACAGAATTTGGTGACGAAGAGTATCAAGTCTACACTCGCTTGTTTTTGAAGTTAATGGATGCGTAAGTGTGATTGAGAAAATATTTACAATAGAAAAGATTATTTAAAGGTATAAAGACTTAAGTATAATTTATTAATTATTCGCAGGGCACGTTTATTGAAATCATATCCAAGCAGCAGGAAGTCCAGTCCTAGTCGCACGCCAATCAAAAAGAATGTGGAGACAAAGAGAAATATCTTGGAGCCCAGGATGCGTCCGCCCGAGGAGCAAATTTTAACTGGTTCGAGACCTAATACTTTAACGGTAATGACATTAGACAATAGCGAGACGTCCGTGTAGCATTATGAGTGCCGTCACATACAACATATGTGACGAGAAAATTGTAGATAGATATACGACGCAAAAAAAAATAATTTATATTAAATTATACGAAAATAGAACGTCCGATTTAGTTAGGAATTTTATTAATACATATTTTTACTTTTATTAATAAATGCACTTATGCTCGCCATTCTATTCAAATTGCGCATCGAACGACATATATTTTATATACAACGAGCAACTACGTTTCTTTCTGTGATTTATTTTATATTTATATGAATTTACATTTATACAAATCAGCCTTAAATAAAATAGAATTTTCGCGCTCTTTGCACCAGCATTGCTTGTAAAATATTTTAAAAAGTACTGATGTACATATAAAGTAATGATGTGTAGAGATCGCCGAATTAGAAAATTAGTAATAGACTAGAATTTTTTTAAAGAGCGTCCATTTCATCATGTAATTTTTTCAGATACTAGCGCTAAGTCAATAATCACACATTATCTTCCAATTGATTCCATAAATAATTACTAAAACTTACATATGCTCGGTCGCATATAGATCTACATATCCCTGTTGAAATTCAGCAAAATGTTCACAGTAATTAAAAAATATTAGAAAGTTATCTCTGTCCTCTTTTTTAAATGTTTGTCTTTTAATTAAGAATAATAGATTAGCATATCTTTTTCTATACGTCACTGTTTAAACATAGAAATTTTTAACAATTTAATGAATTAAGTGTTAATCATGCGATGAATATGGACCTAAGTGTGGACCTATGTATATACCTATCAAAGCTTGTATAACAATTGTTTTTTATTTATTAATAAGGTATAGATATTAAAGTAGGATATCAGGTGCATAATATACGTTATAAGATTTTTTTATTATGGTTAACGAAATTCAAGGCTGAGTAATACGAAGTAAATCAGTTCAATAAGAAAACTTCCCTTTTTTTAATATAAAAATATTTACATGAAAATATGTTATCTTTAGTTATTTAAATACGAGTTTTGACTGACAAATAATTTTTCCATTCTGAGTTGTAGTCTTCTTCATGCCTTAATAAGATTAACGCGCTTTGAAATGCAAGTATGTATACATCAGGTACAGAACTGCTCCTCATGTGATTCAGCCATTTCATAATCTAAAAAAATTATCAACACAACAGTTTAATGTATAATAGACATATTGCTCGTTTTATGACGAAAAATGCCACTGCAATTGTAATACATGAATGTAATGTTTTTTCTAATTGTTAAAAATCAAGAGATTATATAAATCTTTATATTATCTATAACTGATAAAATACAAATTTACATACTTGACGTGTTATGGATTTCCAAATTTGTCGGTCAATAAGCATAGAGATCGCCTGTGGAAACAATCTTATTCTAATGTCTTGCGAAGTAACTAGCAATTCTTTTTGCGGCAGGAGACATTCTATGCCGGACAAACAGATAATCAAGACAAATAAAATATCACAGTAAAAAGTTATATTGTTTTTCTTGTGTTCTGTCTCTACTATAAGCGCATCGATATGTCTCATAAAATCTAAAATCCAGTCTTTTTGTATTTCCAGATCACAGGATTTTTCCGATCTCAACTCAGCCTGCACTTTTTGTATACTTTCTAACAAATATTTTTGCATCCTATAAAGACAGGAAAATTGATTAGGGAACTTAGCTAAGCATGAGAAATTTAATAACTATTCATAATTGTTGTATACTTACTCAGGATTAAATTCGGTCGTGTTGATAAGATCATTCAGCCAAGTGAATGGCGTTCCAGTATCTCCCCTGAAGGCTGCTTGGACTCTAACAGCAATAGCAGTTTTCAGTTTTTCTGGTGTTACTACCCACCAGGTGTAAGGCGACGTCATTCTTTCGACATCCTTGGTCAACAATTCCATCATAGCCGCAAAATATTTTTCGAAATGTTTAGACGTTAAGTCGACTTTTTGCGATATCTCTTCCAACATGGTAGTTAGCAGCGTGCGATTTCCTATTTGTATCGAATTGTTTTTTAAAGCGGTGACAAAAGAAGACATAATATGATTGAATAGATAAACGGACTTTTCGTTATTCAATAAAATTTGATCAATGGCATAATGGAGAGAAGTTTCGATGAATTTTCTTAAGTTATTTGGCTGAATAGCCTGGCACAGTTCCTGCAGATTCGAGTAAAGCACTAAGTGTTTCTCATCCAGCAGCAATCGACCGGCTTCTGATATGGACGTATACATAGACAAGAAACTTTCTGTTAGCAATTTCGCCGATAGCGAGATTTGACAATGATGACTCACAATAGATAGACTGTATTCCTGAGCTTCCTTCGATATATGCATAGTTTTTTCCAAAAAGTCCCATTTTATATTCGGTAATGGTTTTTTGTGTTTATGAGCAAATATACGCAAACATTCCACTAAGACTGTCTGATTATTCGGATCCAGTTTGTCACTTCGTCTCAAGTGCTCACCGACCGCTCTTATCACACTTCTCTCTGGCAGGTACTTATAGTTTTGTGGTTCTCCTTGTGGCCAAGTATATATTTGTGATCTGAAGCCGTTCAATTCGTCCTTAATATAAGAAATCAAAAGATCTCCAGCTGCTGATAAGACACTCCTATTCACATTCTTCAGCATCTGGATCCAACAAGTGCCAGGTATGTACTGCAGCACCTCAGACTTGTTACCTTCACTACTCGCCTTTTCAGATGCTTGTTTTATCATGACATCCGATTGGAAGTCTAGAGGCAGAGCAGTCAAAGGAATTCGATCGACTTGATAAGTTTTCAGTGCTTTAAACGCCGCTTTCGTGACTCTGATATCGTCGCAAATCGTGTAGCTCCACAAAATCGTAACAACATCAGTGATGAATCTGTTGTAATCGTCGCTCGCACGAAACGAATATGAGGGAATGTTATCGAACAACTCGCATAAACTCTCCAGGACCACCGTGCGTTTTTCCTTGCGCATTTTTGGTGCTAATACTTGCCATGTAGAATAAACGCCTGTCAAGTAAAATCATCGCCTATGTTGATCATGGAAAATGAGACTTGTTATAGAGAAAGTTTTAAGTGAAAATCGAACGAAAAATATTCACAAATTAGAACGGCCATATTCAGTTAAAATGAGTCTAACATTTAAATTATATAATATTTAAATTATAAAATTCATACAAAAAATATTATTAGGCACCTAGACTCGCTTTGATCGAATGTAGCCTTCTTCACTTATTTGTAGAGAATTATGCAAAACAAGGATAGCAAATAAAACGTTAATACACTTGTTAAAAAGAATTCAGTGTCTCAAGATACAAAATATAAAATATAATACCTATCACCGTGAACTTGCACAGAGCCGAGATGCTGTCAAGCGCGAGTGCACTGGCTGCACCTCCATTCGGATCAACGCATCGATTCAGGATTTGTGATAACAGCGGCACAAGTTCTTCACCGTGCTCGGGCCAACTTTCGCAAATACATTTTATCGCCTGAGCGCATGTCACGTCCGAATGCCAGTTACGATCTTTTTCCATAGCATCCATTAAAGCTGTTGATATGAAGCGATAGCAACGAGGCTCCTTTTCCAATGCCTTTATGTAAAGCTGGATTGCGAAATATTTCAGTGGTTTGCCGCTATTCAACAATGTGTCCAACGTGTGGATGACAATCGGCAGGTTTTCCTTAGTCATAGCAAACTCGGGAATAGTCAGCAACAGATATTTCAATGTGGAGCTATCATGAGTCTTAGTTAATTTGTGCAGCAACAGCGACAATACGTGCGATGCGAAGGAATTGATCTCTCTCGCTATTTGCACAAGAATATGACAGACTTTTTGGACAACAAGAGGTTCATTGCTACGCAAAAAAATCCCGCATAATATCAGTTTGCACATGTATCTCAGATCGATTGGTGCGAACGATAAGTTCTCCAACCATGATAGAGTGTTATTTATTAGAGAATATAGACTATGAATGAGTTCCATATAAAATTGAATGTATCTATTGCTATAACTAAATATGAGCAGCATTTTATTTGATATAACACCGTTATTACTATTATCCATCTCCTTTTGTGACATTGTCTTGATTAACAATTCTTTTGCTATTACTAACGCATCAGCGCATAATAACGACGGATAGGCCAACCATTTTAATAAGGATGCAGCTAATGTATTTAATATCGTAACATGACATGGCATTTTATTCACAATAACTGCACCTATCAAAATGATTAAAATTAAATCTTGCAATTTCTTTAAATAATGTTGCTGCTTTTAAAAAAATTTGATTTTATAAAATAAATAATGTTTTATATAAATATAAAAGTGAAATAAATTTATTTTATAAATATACTTACATACTTGGAGGACGTTAAATAAATAAGCTGCAGGACATATCAAAATTATTTCTGCCATTAAAACTAACGTAATATTTCCTATATAGTTGTGACAACATTCAAAGAGATCCAATATCATACATAAATTTTGTGTTGGTTCATGACCGTATTCCAAAAGTTGTATTGTCAAAGAAATGATTAAAGGTATTAATGCCGTACAAAATTCTGTGTCTCTTTTTAGTAACATCATATCCGCAAGCTCAAGAATTCGGCAATTCGTATCGACGCAAGTATCCATTCGATTTGTGCATAACCAAAGTAAGATCTCTGTTCGTAAATCTGTAATGTTACTTGATGTCATTAAAAGTTGCCATGTCTCCCGTTTACAACTCTCACACATATCCATGGTAGGATTGCATAATATGTGCACGAATACAGGTCGCAATAATGCTACACTTTGTCCCATAACACTGAAATTTGGATAAATCAAAATTTAATAGCGTTTTCAATGTGCTTCCATCTCAATTATACAAGCTGGAAAAATTATTTAGGACTAAAGATATATATATATATTAAAAAAAAAAATATATATATATATATAAAACATACTATTTGTCATGATGATGCATGATGAACTTCATTTGATTCAGCACAGATCTCCAGCTGAGCTTTTCCTTAATCAAGATCGCAATAAATGGATGCTGAGTAGGGACGTCAAGAGTATATTCATTGCATCTATCATGTGATTTCCAATCTAATATCAACAGTCGACTTATTGCTTCAGTAATCATCTGATAATTCCTAAAATTTGTTGTTGATAACAATACATGAATTGAAACAAATAAATATCATCTAAAAAAATTAATGACATATTAAACATTGACCCTTTGCTCAATGTACATACTTTGAAGAAGATAAGCATGCCATGAATGTTGCTAATGCAGACTTGACGTCCCACAATCCAGTCTCACCAAGTACAAACAATGCTTGGCATGCAGATATACTAACTATAGAATCATCACTGTTGCATTTAGTTGAGAGTAATTTAAATTCTGATATCTACAAAAAAGAAAAAAAATATATATACATAAACAAAAAATATTTATGTATAGTAAATATTAAAATCATAATTATCAAGAAAATAATTTACTTTTGAAATGTCCTTTTCTTCTGTTTCCAACTTCTTTCTGATTGTCTCAATCAGCTTGGATATTGCCTGCAGAAAAGACAATTGAATATTCATATAACATAAATGCAAATGTGTGATTATAGTTATCTTTGCCATTCTTACATGTGATATCAAAGTAGGATTTTGTGATCTTAATTTGTAATCGATTTCGTCCATGTTTTATGCTTATATATAGGACTATTTTTTAAAAATTATGTTTCTTTCTGAAAATTATAAAATTTTCTGTAAAAAGAGAACGTTTATATAAATATATAAATGCTTTCAAGATGATAAAATATACATTTGATATCCTTGCATTTGCCTTTTCCAATTTTGGAAAATAATTATATACTTATAACCTAATTTTCTGGATTATGATACACTTATATATTCTTGAGACACGAATGAAACAAAACATCCAATTATAAGATTAATTTGCTAGATTTAGTTTATGCTAGATTTATTACCGTGCAAATTATATAAATTATAATTAAAACTTGGATTTCCATATATAATAACCTTTGTTTTTCAGATTTCAAAAAAATGAGGTTAAAAAATAATACAGTGCACTTTATCATCAGATAAAGAAGATTACGCAAAGATGATAAAATATTACGGATGAAATATGAATATTTCACATATTTTGTACATATAAAGTAACAATGCTTTCCCTGAACGAAAGTATAAACTATAATCTAACCTCTCTTACCCGACTGATCATCAGCAGGTTTAATGAAATTATAAAATCCTACAATTCTAGATTAGATTTTACTTTAATTTTGCATTGCATTCAGAATTCATTTATATGTATGATCTATTTAATTTTGCAAATTTTTATTTAAAAATGTTTTGTGACATTATAACAATAAATAACAATGTTGATACTTATCTAGAACATATTGATAACTTTTTGAAACGCAGATTTCAATTCTCTATAATA